TTTTTACAGTAAGAATTGGTTAGACGAAGTGTTAGTATCTCCTATAGTAGAGAGGTTCGAATTGTTGAAGGGGTGTAGACCACCTGCTACCTAAGGATAGCGTGGCCACTTGAGCCACATGGGGGTCTGTTACATCCAAACTCTTTATATGTGTGTGTTTAGTAAAAATTGCCTTCTTTGATAGTATCAATTTCATTATTTGAAATTTAGAATGGAATTTTTTTTATGTGAAGTACTCACAATAGCGGGCTACAAAATTATAATAATAATTTTTTTATTTTGAATTGTATCATAAAATACTATTTTTTAATCTCTTAAACATCCTAGTTGTATACTATGTAATTCAAATTAAAGAATTCTCTAGGAGTATATTACCAAATTGGTCTCATTTTGGTACCGTATGTTAACAAGTCTTTTGGCCTGCTTGCTAATTTCACATAATTTCAAAATGTTTAAATAGATGTGTTTGGATAGAAAAGAACAAAAACACATACAAAAACAAAAGGATCCAAAAGGTCAGTTTGGTTCAACAGTTGGGCTATTTGTTGGTTTGTACTTTTGGATCATTGAAACAAAAAAGAATGCAGGAATATTATATGACCCTTCCTTGCTTGCACGCCAGGTTTTGGAATTCTTCAGTCCCATGTCATCTCCCACATTCAATTCCATGTCTGCTTCTTTACCATCTCTCTTCAACATGCCTGAAAGACAACCTCTAGCCTCTTTGTCAGGGCACCTTTTAGTTGATTGCTGTGTTTGAGTAACCTGTGAATATTGATTGGTCCAACAAAACTATTGGGATGCACCAAAATATTTTACTTTGTGTGGGGGTCCTCCTGCCTGCTGTGCCTATTGTCATATTCATATGGATGAGGAAGCCATTCCTACTCTTTAACAAAGGAAAAAATAATACTCAACATACATCCTAAGATTATAATAGCACTTCTAACATGCTTAGCCTCATCTTTTTAATTTGGTTTTTTGAATTTAAATCTAAAAGTACAAAAATTTGTTATAATTTATAAGGGTATATATATTGAACAAGCAAGAGATTTGTTCGTTTGTCAGGTTGATGATTGATACTCACAAAGTGAATAAACATGATTATTTAAAGTCAAATTGAGATTTAAACTTTTGCAATGTTAAGTAACTAACTCCCGATTCACAAAAAATATTGATTTATAAGATACAAAAGCCAAGAAACTTGAAAATCATGCCATTGTTTAAGATGTAAACTTCTCTATTTAGGAAGCCTGTTGAGCAAACCAAGAATGGCCTTAGTGACTTAACCTCACAAATTTAGAATATGTTTGATTTAACTATAATTTTCATAGAAATGGTGTTCGAGTATAGTTTTTGAAGAAGAGCTAATTTCAACTTCTAGCCATTTACAAATTAAAAACATGCACTATTATGAAAAATACTTTTTAAAAAACTACACCAACCAAATTCCAACTTTGTACCAGAAAATATCTTTTCAAAAACTAAGCTTAACAGGGTAGTAGGAATATTATTATCATGTTTCCCTTTGGTATAAAGTGCCAAGAAAACGATGGGAAATGGCAATGAATTCCATCTCAGTTCACACACTGACTCACATGCATGGTATTGGACTTATTGGTATGGAACCTCATCACAAACTAACAAAGGCCTGCTGTGTCTCGGGAATGATTTCCTCCTAAACCTTATAATTCACAGGTCTGAGTTTAATTCTTCTTTTATGGCCCCACAAAATTGTAGGACCCCCATGAAGAACATTCTAAAAAGTCTAGGATGATTTGATTCCTTTTCTTGTCTCAGATTTGATTTGATTCCTATTTATGCCTCTGTTTTTCTGAAAAAATTGGGGCTATTATACATTTTTGTATTTTGAAATTATTATACCCCTGCTTCACATTGATTTCCAACATTATGCATTTTTCCCCATAATTTTAAAGTTGAGTTAGTCTCTCCAACTTAAGAAAATGAGAATTCCAGGATAAGTATAGACAAAAAATGATCAGAGCTGCAGAGAAAAACCATTTTCTATTTATAACTTGATTCTTAACCAACCTCAACTGACCCCATCTTCCCCTGTAGAGGCTGAGATCAGATGGATTTAGATTGGTTGCCTCTCTCCAACCACTAAGGGCAACTCAAAACAACATTCCTGGGCCCTGTCTTCATCTTTGGTGAACCAAATTTCAATATTCCTAATCTTGTTTGAGTTCTTTACTTCATTCTTGTTTAGAACTCTTGCCTTGGTACAATTAATTTATAACTTAGTAGGGCTAATAAAAAAAAAATATCTCCAAGTGAATATCATATATGTTAGAGTAAGGTTCACATGGTGTGGACACGAAGTTAAGTAGATGAAGTGCAAAGAAATCCCATATTAAAAGAAAACTAAAGTGAAAGGGTAGAATATATGTGGAAGCATAAACCATACAAACATATTGTATTTTTCAAATTTAAAATAGTATCTATTATACGTATTCATACGCACTTACTATAACTAAATTATATGTATGAAAATTTACTACACAATCCGATAACAAAATAATCTAAAATTTTAAACATTACTCAATAGTCTCCCTTGGCATAAAAACCATTTCTTTTGAAGCATATTATTACTTTTCACCTTTTCTATATTTTTCAACTTTAAAATTTTTTTAGTTTATTAAAAAAAATCCCTTTAAAAATTGTGTAAAATAAACAATCTTATCATACAGCACCAGACACGGCATCGTTTTTCCAATCCAATAAGGTTGGTGTATTCCTGAAACCTCTGCATAAAGTTGCCCCTCCATTTTCTGTTTTGTTTATTTTTTTTGCCCCCAAAGAAAAAGAATCCATTTTAAAAAATATATATAATATACGTATTATTAATTCATTTTAATTAATATATTTATTCAGTATTTTCTTTATCTCGCGCTCCATATTTCATCCCCCTTAGCCTCCTTCTCATTTCCCTTGACATTTTCCCGTGAAGGAAAAGCGGAGACATTCTGTGATTTGAATTTGCTCTCCGTATGGCACCTGGAGATCCGTAATCGTACAATGAGTTAGCTAATTCTCTCATTTCCTGTTTGATTGCTGAGAAAAATTCCAGGTAACAGAAGCAGAAACTAGATAATAAAAAGTAATTGTTGCTAGCTTTTTCTGTTTCATTTTCTCATACAATGAGCTAGTTTAGCCCACAACGAGAGTAATCAGTGTTGTTAATTTGTGTTTCTTTGTCCAAAATCTCAGTCTGTGTTGTTAATTTGGTTGCCGAGCAAAAATCGAGGTGAACGAAGTGTAAATCAGACAATCAGTGTTGCGAATTTGTGTTTGTTTTGGATTTGAAGCTTCGGAGTACTTAGCTAACACAAGCGAAACGATCTTAGATTTTTCTGCATTTTGTCGGTGTCAAATTAGAGGATCAGTTTCTGCAAATAACTAATTTGTTTTTAATGAAATGAATGATTCTTAGCTATAATTGTTTAAATTAGCTTTTAATTTTTCCTTTTTATTGCTTTGATTTTAATTTTGTTCACGCTATCTCTTTGTAGGAAACTTGAATCCGAGGAATCTTAACAGTTGACAGGATCAGGTTTGTAATTCTACATTGTGCTTTCCTTGTATGCTTCAGTTCATATCTGCAATAAAATTACAATAAATTTGATTTTCAAAATGGTATGTTTTGTGTTGTAGATCGTTGGTTATATTAAGAGTTGGAACCCACATATGGAGGCTCATTATGTCAACTCCAGCTACCCTTATAACAGTGCTGGGAGCTTTATGGAATATTTTGAGGGCCTCACTTATCAGCATGTTAATTTCATTTTTGATGGTGCATCACATCTTCAGGTACTATTTTAGTTCATAATTCCTTTATCTGTGAACTATAGCAAAATGATTTCCATTTTATCTATGTATGTTCAAGAATAATTGGATTGAAGTATTGTAATTTTTGTGTGAGTTTATAGAAGTTGCCCAAGAGGTTTATTTTTGTTCCTTGCCTTTTAATTCCAATTCTGTATGTCGTGATAGATTTATTAATAAACTATATCCTTCACATTATTGGTGTCTTACTGTCTTTCAAGAGGGTATGTATGGGTGTGTTTTAAGTATTTTCATAGAGAATATAATGCATTCAATGAGTTTTTGAGAGAGATTTTGTTTGTAAATGGAAGATACTGCTAAGGTTATATTAAGAATGGATTTCCATTGTGCAGGAGAGTATACACCCATCAATGGCTACAAGTTATTACAAGTTTGGGCTATCTGATTCTGGCAGTATTTCATATAACGATCATGGCCCTGTTTATGAGGTAAATGACTGTGATCCAGGCATTGAAGAATACAGAATGCCATCAACCGTGAGTAATGAGCACAATGCTGCAATGAGTATGCAGTGGGAAGGAAATGCAAATCCAACTGGACGTCCAAACCATGGAGATTGTAAGTTTCAAATTTATTTTGGTTTGGGAGGTTCCCTTTTTATTAGTTATTAGGACTTCTTTCATGGAGAAGCATTTTATTCTGCAGTGATACAGGGTTTCATTTTGAACCATATATGTAAACAGTATGAAGATATTGACTAAACTTGATGATTTTCCATGTCATTTTGCTTAATGTTATGTAACATTGATATAATTTTGTGTGAAATATAAATATATTTCCTTTGTTGCCATTCTATTTCTATTTTGACAATATTAAATGGGGTTAGTTAATTTCTTCCATAGGTCCACGGAGACATGACAGTTCACGAGAAAATCAGGTATTTAGTTTTCACCTTTTTCCCACCTCTTCTCTGCTATACCAGTGCACATATACATATTCAATCTTAAAGAAAATGTCTGTTTTTGTAGGGTTTTTCAATGGACATATTTAATATACACGTTTTAAAGATGCTCTATTCTGTTTGCCTAGTATTATTTTTATTATTATTTTTTTCTCTGATCGGAAAGTAGTACTATTTTCTTAGTTAAGGATAATGTTGTTAAACTATGGAGGTGATGAGTTAAAATTTCTAATTCTTTGAACTATGCAGGTCCTTTGGCAAGACAATATTGATCCCGATAACATGAGTTATGAGGTTAGAGCCTTAGCTTTCTGAACTTGCCAGTGGTTGGAGCATTGCCTTATTAGCCTCTCAATCTTGTTTGGAGTTAACTGCAATTACAATTTTCAAAACAAGAAGGATATCTAACTTTTAAAACACATATCAAGATTGGACCTTTAGTCATAGGGTGGGTGTATTTAGAAGTTGGCATAGTGGCAATCATGCTTTCAAGTTTTAGGCATAAGATTCTTGAAGATTTTGATAATTCAAGTTTTGACAATCATATATTAGGAATCAAAGAGTACTGCAATTAGCTGTCTGGGAAAGTATGCAGGCCTTAATTTTTTGTAAGGGAATTGGAACTGCATGTTGCTAAGCGTGAGTAAATATGTAATGGGTGTGGTGTTTCCAAATTGTTGCCTAATCGGAGTGCCATACACCATTGAGGTCTACATTTCATTGATTATGATGTAGGACCAAAAATATTACTTATAACGAGATTGCTGCTGGCCTGCAAAAAAGGTTGATGAAGTAACATTTCCACAAGTTGATTATTGGTTACCCTTCCAAGGAACTCGTAGAAGTATTTCACTATTGCATGTCAAAGATCTTGTTTTTCATTTTATCCATCTTTTTCTAATCCATTCCGACTGAATCTATCATATTCAGGAATTACTTGAATTGGGGGAGACGGTTGGAACTCAAAATCGAGGTCTTTCCCAAGAGCTTATTTCTCTGCTTCCAGTCTCAAAATTCAAGTGTGGGTTATTCTCACGAAAGAAATCAAGAAATGAGAGGTACTAGTGCTTCCACTGGGTATTTTCAATGTATATCCTTTTTCCTTGCTGCATCAGTTCTTGTGCACAAGTGTCAAGTGTAAAAAGAGTATCTTGTTTTAGATTTGCAACTTGTGTTCATGGATCAAATTTTCCTGTGTATGCATGAGACTCTTACCTCACATATAATTCAATTTTATGAATTTCCACGCACATAGTTTCCATATGTTGTTTCTGTGCTGGTCATTCTAACTTGCTTTCTTCATTGTAAATAGATGTGTGATCTGCCAGATGGAATATAAACGACGTGACAGGCTAATCACACTGCCGTGTAAACATGCCTACCATGTTGGTTGTGGTACCAGATGGCTTGGCATCAACAAGGTAAGCTGTTAACTATTTTGTGAACTTAGAATGCATCTGTTTGGTCCTTGCATTCAAAAAAGGTGAAATTGCTGATGCTATTCTCTTATTCACTCAGGCTTGCCCTATATGTTACACCGAAGTGTTTGGTGATGCATCTAAACGCTAAGAGATAACCAGCAATGAACATAAAACACATACGTTTGCAGACTTTTGTCTTCTCCTGCTCTTTTTTCCTTTTCATCTCGAGTTTGGGTATCTTCCCTCTGTACGGAGATGTTTGTTTCATTCTTCTACTTTGGCAGAAGAACTGTTTTAGCTTTTGTAATAAGAAGGTAGAATATTCTATGACATGTGTCTGTTAGAAAAGTTGGCGTTTGTATGGAACTTTTACAATAGTTTAGTTACTTCTGATGTTCAATTATTCTCTTCTAGACGGTCGTTGAATGAACCCTAAAGGGCCTAGTCATGGGTCAGTTTCCGTGTGCCATACCAACTTCATCTTGTCGGTATGATCAAAGTCAAACAAAGGTTATTCACGTCAGGAAATTTATGAGGTATTAATCCATCATTGGCCTTCTCAAGAAATTGAGGACGGGTCAATAAGGTTAGCGTTGAATAAACCCTAATCTATTGTTTGCAAAATGAAAATATACGTCATTCTAACCTAAAACTAAACATTTTGATGAAATTTCAAAGAGACTAAACTGTTTTCCCTAAATATATTGGCAAATGCCTACTTCTTAATCTTTTATCTTATTAGATTTGTAAGTTTTAATCTTTTATTTTATATCATGATATTTTTAATCCTTCACTTATTAGAATTAAAAAAAATAGCTTTCACTCATAACATTTTGTTAGTTTTGTTAGTTGATTGTTAACTTTATCAGTTAATTATTAGTTGATCATTAATCAGTAAAAACTTACTTTTAGCTTATAGAGTTAACAGTTAGTTAACAAAATTATTTTGTTAATTCTGTTAATTGACTGTTAATTTTATTAGTTGATTGTTAGTTGGTAAAAACTTATTTTCAGCTAACAGAGTTAACAATTTGCTATCAGAGTTAACATTCAATTAACAAAATTAACGAAATATTATAAAATGAGGATTATTTTCTTTAATTCTAATATGTTAGGGGTTAAAAGTGTTATAATATAAGATAGTGGACTAAAATTTACAAATCTAATAAGATAAAAGGTCAAAAGTAGGTTTTTGTCAAATATATTTACGGTAAGGAACAGTGACAGGCTTGGGCAAAATGTGTAGGGGGGACAATTTTCTTTTTTTCTATAACCTATAAATATATCATATACCTAACATAATTTCACTAATTAATCATAATTTATCAAAACTTATTATAAGTTAAAAGAAAAGTGAAAAATGAAAAAAATCATTGGAGGTTAGAGATGTACAAATATAAAATAGGCCAAAGGGTCTATTTGCACCCTCCACTTAATTATTTTTCACGGTCAACACCTTCCAAAATTTTTCCTCCCTATTCACACCCTCAACTTTTCAAAACCCGTGAAAAACCCAACATTTTAACGTGCCGTCACGGTTCCGTTACAAAATGTACTACGTGGCACCATATGCCGTTAATAATACAACGTGGATCTCTTTTTTAATGATGTGGCTTATTTTATATACGTGGACGCTGCATCATTAAAAATAAATTTGCATTACCATTTTGGGAATTTAGGGTTTATTTTCATCTCCTTCTTAATCTTC